TAGGCTGTGGAGTCTCCTGCTCTGGAGAGATTCCAAACCCTCCTGGACATGGGGATCCTGGGCACCCTGCTTTAACAGGGGGGTTGGATGAGGTGATCTCCAGAGGTCCCTTCCAACCCCACCACGCTGGGATTCTATGATTTTTTTTTGTAGTAACAAGAACTTGTAAGTGCTGTTGTTCAGTTTGCAGGCTAGCTTTATATCTGTTCTTTTACTAACTGCTTTATCTTTCATTTTATTCAAGGCAGCGTCCCTTCTCTAGCTGCTGGGCTTCTTTTTGGTGGCTTAGCAGGACTAGGTGCTTACCAGCAGTCCCAAGACCCAAAGAACGTGTGGCTTTCCCTTGGTAAGTTTGGTGTAAGAGGTTCTAAAACCTTGGTGGTCCTTCTGAAGTGGGTGAGAAACACCAATCTGTGCCAGATTAGTGCAGGCACAGGAAACTTGGGTGTGAAGGAGCTTTTCTAGTTTATGGAATAAAAGGGTTTGCCATGGTGACAGCACTGTGACAAACAGCACGTGGTGTTGAATATTGGCTTGGCCAGACATCTCAGAAGAGCAGCATATGTCTTCTTGTGTGATATGCTGTGGAAGAAACAGTCTGAAGTAGAAAGAAAAGAGGCAACAGTCTATTCTGCCTGCATACAGGAGATGGGACAAGTTTTGGTGGGTTTAGTTTGCAGTTGTCCTTCACTTGAAGGGTTAAAGTGACAGTAGAAAGTAGTATGAAGGGCTGGAAGAGCTCAGGGGAATCTCAAGGACTTCCATCACTGCAGGACTTTTAATCTAAACCAGTTAAACCAGTATCTGGCAGGAACTGACCTTGCTTTTGGGCACTAGGTTAGCCATGATGACCTTTTGGGGCTCCTTCTAGTTGTGGAACTAGGCCATAGCATTGTTAGTGTTATGCTTCTGTGGCATTAAGATGATTTCACACCACTAGGACTTGATCATACGTACTGGAAGACTTTGGGAAGGCCCTGGTAGATCCTGCACGAGTGAAAAACCACAAGTTTCTAGGCAGTGGCACAACAGGATGAGCAGCTTCTGGGTATCCTGACATGGTGCCTTCAGGTGGACCTCTGGAAAGCAGTGTTGTGTCTAGGACCACACCTCCACCTTCCTTTCTGTGAAGAAACAACAGCCCAGTGATTTGTATGTGAATACTAAAGGGATTTTTCCAGACAGAATGAAATAATGTGGAGTCATGTCCAAACTGTTGATCACTCTTCCAGTTTGATCCCTTAGATTGCTGTTTGCTAATTATTGCTTCCAAGTGGGCTTGTTTTTAGCTGTAATATTTAGGGCCAACTTCCAGTTCAGAATGCCACAGAAAAGGGATTTTATTAAAGTGTTAAAATTTATTAAAATACCATTTGCCTCCTACACAGTGAGCTGCCCTGTAGACATGGGCCTGCTTGGCTGGCACTGCTAAATGTCCCAGAGCTGGTGTTTTCCCAGTGGTTCTGACTGACCTTCTTCTCAACAGTGGCCTCTGGAACCTTGTCTGCTGTGATGGGGATGAGATTTTACAACTCCAGAAAACCAATGCCTGGGGTGATTGCTGCTGCCAGGTACTCACCTGCCTTTTGTTCTGGAATAAGCATTTTATTGAACTTATTTATTGATCATGTTGGTTTAAAAATGTTATGTGGCAAGCTCTGTGAAGGATTAAATCTTCTGGTGGGGTTTGGCTGCACGAAATCCTGTCAGCCCTGTTCTTCCTCCTTCTTTATGGGATTTTTTGCCTGCACTCCTTTGTTTTTTAACACCAACTCTTCTGTTCAACAGTTTACTGATGGTTGGAAGGCTGGGAATGCAGATGATGGAGAAGCCTCTTAAGCCCTAAGTCTGTGGCAGGTCACTTGAAGCCAAGGTGACTGGGAAGCCTGAGAATGCAGCTGCCTGGACGTGCTGCAGGGAAGCAGCAAAGGCACTGCTGCCTCTGCAGTGCATTTTTCATATCCTGGCACGTGTGGGTTGTGTCTTTAAAGGACTGACACTGAGAGCCACTTGTTCCTGTCTTCAAAAATGGGATTTTGGTCTTAATGTTCTGTGCTGTGAAGCAAGAAAATGCAAGTAGAGAGTTAGTTTAGCTTCTGGTACTGCCACTTAGTGTAGGCCAAGACCTCTTGGCACTTGCACGCAGGCAGCTGCAGGATTGGAGCTTAAATCTACGTCTGGACTTGGCATTCTATAATCATCTGTGCTGCTAAAACAAGGGCAGAGGTGTTGCCAATTTGTCACTAGTAATTCATGTAACAAACGTGCTTATTCCTTCACCTGCTCCCTTTCCTTGCCAGTTTATCTGGCCATGGTGTTTCCCAGTTGGGGGCTTTGCTCCCCCAGCACTGGGGATTAAATCTGCTCCCACAAATCATGGAGCAGGCAGATGAGGTTCCCCTGTGACACAACCAATGCAGGACTGCTGCTTGCAGTTATTTCTGAGCAAAAGTGCCCAGCTAAATGTCAATTCTTTTCCCTTTTACAGGTTATGAGTCACAAATCCAACATGTGCTCTATTAGCTAAAGCTGAATTGTAGGCGTAGCTTTTGCATTTTGTGAGGGTTAAGATGTTATTCTAAATAAAACAACTCATTATTACAAACTTGTGTTCTAAACAACTATTTTTTCCTCTTTCAGCACTCACCTGGATTGATAGTTTGGTGCCTTTCCCCCCCCCAGGATCTATCTAGGACCATAAATTGTATAAATAATCCCTATTCAATTCCCTGACTCTAGTAAATATAAAAATCCCCTGAACTGTGGGCAGCTGTGGAGAACAAAGTATTCAGACAAGTCTATTAAACTTTGTTTTGAGAGGAATCACCTCTGTCAGGTTTGAAAAATGCCCTGTGAAAAATTTATTGAAAGACTGAAGGGCTCAGTTGATCAGCCTTTGTCCTCAGTTGATTCCCTTGATCCCTAAAAATCATTCTAAATATAAACCTGCCCTCCAGAAATAATCCTGGGAGCTGCACACAGCCAGTAACAGATCCCTCTTCTGCTCTCCTGTAACCTGTGTCCCTGTCTGCACAGATCCTGAGCTTGGAGCTCCTCAACCTTCTTCTTTGGTGGCTGGTGCTGGGAAGAGATGGAAGCAGTGAGGTCTTGGACTGGTGAGACTCTGGAGTTGCTCTCAGTGTTGGGAGGGTGACAACTTGTGCTCTCCCTTCCCTCTTTCCAGCAGGAGAGGAGAATTTCCCAACACTTGTCCCACTTTGATTATGGACAAGTAAAGGCTGTTATGGTTCTGTCAAAGCTCTTTCCACCTTCACTAGCATAGGGTAAGGACAGCAGGTCTCTCCTAGCCCTATTTCATGCCATAAATAGGACTTTATTTATTTTTGGTTTAGCTCTAGGTGGTTTAGGGACACATGATTAATCCATTCCTTCATCAGGCTGTGCTTTTAACTATGTCCACACTAGAGAGAGGGGAAAAAAAAAGAGTTAAATTAATAACTTTTTAAAAAATGATAAAAGCAGTGCATTTATGGCTGTTACAGAGTCTGAGGTTGTCCTTCATTGCCACAGATATCCCTATCCCTCTAGAGCTCTTCCAGTTCTAAAGTGGCATTTTCTTTAGGTGCTGTTTTCCTAACAAAATATTTGACTTTTTGGTACAAACATTTCCAGGAAGTCCACATAACCCATATTATGGCACATGAGGTCAACAATAGGAATTAAATTTTTTATATGCAGTTATAAAAGCCATAAAAATACATTTATTTTCTTTTTTTTTTTTACAATGCTTAAAATAATTAACAGCTTTACATCTTTAAACAACATACTCCTTTGGTATGTGAAAATGGCAGGTTTAATTTAACTCCTAAATGTAAAGCATCTCTTCTAAATGCAGCTTTTAACAGCAGCAGCTTAGCTCAACGTCCTAAAAACAATTTCTTGCACACTGCAAGGTCCTTTTTGTGGCCTATTACCAGAAAACTCAGCCTAAGAGCCAGGGAAAGTACTGGATGAACATATAAACAGTGAGGTATTGCATTGTTAAATGCTGGGTGTGTTTTCAGGTACCTAAGCTGCCCTGTAAGATCTCAGCCAGAAAGCCACAGCTTCCAAGAACAGCCCAGCAGTCTCCCTCATGTAGTTCCTTCAACTCCTGCAGTGCAGTTTCAGGCCCTGTGCAGCTGTTTCCCAGTTGTGCTCTATCACTCTCTAGCCATACATGGGCCACGTTTTCAGGACATCCTTGGGTAGTATTTATCAGCAGGTCGCTGATGTCCTAGAACAATGAGTTACAGTCTCATTGCTTTGATGAATATTTGCACATGACAGAGCCTGAAGTGACTTCTTGGGTCCAAATGTGTTCTGAAATCCCTGTGGTGTTCTTCAGGAGACCCAATCTGTGCTTTCACCCTCATCTTTTCTGGCAAGGAACCAGTTTAACACTGGTCCTGCTCTGCTTCAGCCCCTGGGTACTTCAAGCACGTGCCAACAGTGGACGTTGCCTTGGGCAAACAACCACAAGGGTTGTTTTTAGAGTAGGAGGATAAGAGATCCATCTGTAGAAAAAAAGTTGAGTGAAATCTACTTCTCAGTAGTTTTGGCAACATTTGTTCTACAATACCTGAAGAAATCCTACCTCAGAGCCAGTATTTTAATGTGGTATTGTGGGTGGTGTACAGGTAAGAGAACACAAGGTCTGTCTTCCTCCTTTACCATTGCATAGTCTTTGGAAAAATCAGAGCAAAGAGGCATTTGAGGTTTCCAGTGCAGGAGAACTGCACACAGCTGATGGAGTATCTACAGAGAGTGGAATTTTTTATCTGTTTCCCCCATATTTGGCCACCCAGTCTGTTCTTCCATGGACTGGCTGAATTGCTGGTGGGCGGGTAAACGTGTTGATGTTTTTTGCTGCTGAACTGAAAGCAGGGCCTGGTAACTGAGCACGAGCAGCTTTGGTCTTCCAGGAATAATCTGAAAAAAAAAAAACAAGAACTCTGAATTAATTCCACCTCCAAAGGTATTTCACTCCTTCACAGATGAAACAAGGAGAGCTGGAAGATGACTCGGGGTGCTCTGGGGTGTTAACACAGCAGGATGCTTTGGTCTCTGATGTGTTACCCAGAGTTATTTTCAGATAAGGTTAAGGTTCCCTACTATTTGTGTATCTTTATAGTAATTCTCATTTTGTTCTGCAGCAACCCCCTGAGAAAACACTGAGCCTGAAATTCAGTGGAAAAACTGATGCCAATTCTGTATCTTCTATTACAGAACTGCTACAGAATGGGAGTGTTTGTTCTTCTTCCCTCAAGTATCTTAAAAATTATGTGATTTTAACATGTTTGGGTCTTAATAAGGTCATTTGGGACCTTTCTTATCCAGACTCTTGTAATACTTCATTGTTTCTTTAGCATTCCTAAAGTATATTCTGTCCCTTCCATTCCTATTCCATAGTTTAGTCTTCTTTTATTAAGTATTATTGATGGTATTATTTTTAATCTAATATTTTTGTGTGTCCCCCTATGTATCATTCTGATTCTTACCACCAAAAAGAGGTGGGTTTCCATATTTTTCAACAGCAGGTTGAACTTTTGAAGTAACACATGAAGATAAAAGACATTTATAAAGGAGGAATCCCACAGAACTGAAATGAAGGGTCAGGTCTCCACCTTTTTGATAACTAAAACTCTTTATTAGAGGCTGGAATTCCCTGGTTTTTTATCAGTCAAGTACAGCTCCAGCAAAACCTCTCTTGCCACTGGAGGTCACTTTTCTCAGGTCGTGGCATCTTCCTCAGGGAAACTGATCTTTTATATTATATTAATTTATCTAAATGATGACATTAAAAAGAAAAAAAACCTTAAAGTGATGAGAGTGGGAACAACTGAGAGTATAACTTATTTCAGTTTGAATAACACCAAGCAAAGGGTCACCAAAAAGGCTAATGTTGAAATATTGAGAGATAGGAGGAAGGGACCTTTCAAGGTCTAGTTCAACCCCCCTGCAGTCAGCAGGGACAGCTTCAACCAGAGCTGCTCACACTTCTTTTGCTGTGGCCATACCAGGTTGTTCTTCAGTTAAAGAATTCATGATTAGTTTAGGGCCCTGCTCTTTCCTCTGAAGTATCTACAGAAATGTGCTGCTGGGTTTGGCCAACACCAGTTTCTCCTGCATCCTGAGCACCTCTGTTCATCTTTGAACTGGAAATGTACCAAGAAGGAAGGTGCTCAGAATGTCACCTGCACTACAGAGGATCCAAGGCAACAGCTCCACTCAGAACAGGTTCACATTGTTTTTAATTAATGAATGGAACAGTTCTTCAGTGGGTTTGTTGATGTGCTGTCCAGCCACCTCATTGCTGTATCACAACTATCAGGGACTGGCCATTTGCCTTCTCCTTTGGCTTTGGCCTTCCTTTGTGTAGCAACACTGAAAATTTCACTTCACAAAGCACTGGAGATATTTCATGGGTATAAGAATAGTGTCAACTCAGTGTCTACAGCTCTACAGAGCCAGCACAGTGAAGACACAGTGAAAACCTCCCCCCTACATGACCACCACAAAAACCAGAGGCTAGAAACCAGACAGGGCCAGTGAATAAGAGAAAATAATTTTAATTTACTGTTTATCCTGTATCTGTAATATTATTTGTGAATTTCCCAAGTCACTTGATGAAAGTCTTTGCCTTTTAGAAATTGCTGAGGCCACTCTAAGCTTGGATCAGCATCATCCAGTTGCATGAAGTGACATTCAACCAATTAAAGACCCACACTTGACAGCCCCAAGCTGCATCAAAGTCACTGTCAAGAAAAATCCTCCAAATCCACTCAAACCTAAGTCTTTTTTCAAATGTGAATTTATCAGTTTTGCACACTTACTAGCTGGTGACTGTATCACTCTCCACTAGCTACATAAATCATGCATTTCTGTTTGTGCCCAGTCCACATGACCATTTACTACAGAGTTCTAGAGGTTAGGTATTTTACAATCCTGCTCAGCCCTTCACCACTCATGAACAGCAGCTTAGCAAATGGACCACACCTCCTAGAATTAGAGTTTGTCCCTCCATTTTCTCTTTTCCCTAATAAACAAGAGTAGCAATTGATTCTCTAACTATCAGGACTGCCTCTAGACACCTACATTCAACTCACATATCTTAAGAACAATTCATGCCTGAGAATTTTACTTACATAACTCAAGGAAAATCCTACTAAGGGCTAATCAATCTCTTAGGAAATGTGAGAAATGAACATTTCTCTGTCTCAGGTGTGTGGTAAAAGAAATGCTCCTTACCTGAGACAGGTGCACCAAGAGGAGCCAGCTGTACCCGTTGTCCAGCTGATCCAGCTTCTTTTTTATGGAAGGAAGGGATGTAGAGTCCTGGGGGGTTGTAAGCAGCACCACTGAGAAAGCCAGGGTTTCCTGTGGGCATCACAGAATTTTAGTGTTTCCAGCTGCATTCAGAAAACCTTGCCTGCTTTTTATAGTCACTTCAAAAGAGATTTGCAGTGCCACAAGAGTACTAAGTATGAGAGGTCTTTAAAAACCCCCTAGTGCTTCTCTGTTGAGCAAAAAAAGTATATATATTCTGTTTGTGCCTTCTGTTAATTGAACCCTTTACAGCACTTAACAGATCCTGTTCATCTGATCATTAGTCCAGCAGGAGTACAGACAACAGAGCAGGATAAACATTTAATTAGTGCATCATTAAGCTTCAACCACACAGGAAGGTTTACACCAAGCAGGATCTTACCTTCTCCTTACAGCTGCTTGCTTTACTGGAAGCTGATTGAAGCACTGCAGTATTTGAAAAGCAACACTCAAGGGTATTATGCTCAGTGTGTTTGGTCTAAATTTATCTAAAATCATGGAACCACACTTCTCTTGTGGCAAGTGGTGCAGCACTTGAAGTTGACTCTGCTTGGCCTCCCACAAGTCAGACCCAATTACCCTCTTTCTTTAACCCTAGTTAGAATTCTGCTGTGCCCAGTTTGGATCCAGATCTTTACAGCAGTGCTACCTTGGGAAGGCTGACATAACCATCTTCATTTGCAAGCTGAGAAATGTGCATTTCCACACAAAATTAGTACTGAAATTACTGTCCAGTGGCAGAGGGATCTCTAGCCATAATTAGACTCCCTGCCCCAACAGAAATTTCTTACCTTCTCCACATGTGTCATCACTTGGGACAGTGTTAAGACTGTGCTGGCACAATGTCCAGAGAGAAATGCTTTTCTCTAGTGGTGTAGTTCTACATTCAGAAGTATTAAGTTTGTGAACTACAAGGCCATACACAGGAGTTTTAATCTGACCTTAATCAAGGGTGAGCAGTTTTATCACTAATCCTCAGCATGGTTTCAGTGGTAGTTGCAATAGAACACAAAATCTCTGATTTGCCAGTCTCCAGCACAGTAAGAATGACACCAAAGTCCTGGTGAAAAACAACTTTTAATAAAATATTCTCATACAATTTTAACTTTCTTGTAGTCTTCCAGTTGTTCTTCCTTTTCAGGAATTAGCCTGAAAAACAAAACCAAGTTTTAGTGGTTCATTCACCTGCCTGTGCACACAGACACACACTCTCTTATTCTCCCAGTTCCTAATTATTTCACTGAGAGTGATTCATAGCTCTGACAGCTCAGTTGCACCCCTTAAAATCCTGAGGTGTGTAAATAAGAACATGACAGGCCTCAAGTAATATAACCTCAAAAGGGCTATTTCTGTCTGGTTCTTATCTGCAGCTCAGTAAAGCTCCCTGTCAAAAACTGCTCACCCATTTTTTGGTTCTTCTTACCTCTCCATGTCCAGTGTTCTTTAACTCTGCTGCTGGAAATGGAAGGGTACAGCCAGGAGGAACAGTCTGGGTGAGACACAGAGGTCTGGAGGAGGTGATCTTTTGTTGGATGAGAAGAAGGAAAGGAGGAGAAAAAGAAGTTTATATTAAACTAACAGAATAACTACAAAAAATAAACCCAAAGCATACTAAAAAGCACAGTTCTTACCTTGGACCACTGCTGTACAAGAGAAGGGGTTCTTGCTCTAGAGGTGTTCATCCAACAGGCATCCAGGTCTGGCAGCAGGTATATAAGAAAGGCCTCATGGCCTTGATGTTGGCAAGTGTGCCATGCTCTGGCCTCAAAAATACCTCAAACACATCCTGGATTCTTCCTGAAGGCATGGAACCATTTGAGGTAAGCAATGAGTTCAAAAACACCCTGGGAAAAGTGTGTTTAGACACAAACTAGGCTGCCTGGAAACCTGAGTTTCCACCTTCCTGGGCTAAGATAACTTCACCAAAAATGTATGCAACCCAAGTGCTGTGAAATCAGGGTGACAGGATCTGAATGCAGAGACTAGTGAAGTCCTAAAGTTCTGCTGCTTCCACTGCTGCTTTAGGATCACTTCTCCACCACCCAGCAGCAGTGCAGTGACATGCTGTGGCTTAGAATTAGGGTGGTAAAATATTCCCTGGCTTTTAAAGCACAACAAGTGCCAAGAGACTAGAAGGAGTCACAATGGAGAGAGCAAGGTCTGACAGATTAGAATGCAGTTTCATTTTCAGTTACAAGTGCAATTTTTACAAGAAAATGTAAAACATTAATAGGATTGTGCAAAGAACCAGACTATAATTGCTACTAATTACCTTTTGGATCCTCTAATTTTTCATTCAACCTTTCTTTGCATGAGAGCTTTTCAATAGGTATAATTAAGTTCTCATCTGTAGACAAGGAAAATGAAAGGAAGAACAAGTTGGAAAGATTGAAATTTAGAAAAAGTTTAGGAAGAACCTGGTTAGGGGATGTGAAAGAAATGAGAAAAGCAAGACAGAATAAATATCTCATTTTTTCTAACTATAATGTCTCATTCCTAGGTTTTCTCAAGGAGGAAATGTTACTCTTACAAGTTACTTTTCAAAGTCCTTTCTAATAATGGGATAAAAATGTGATATACCACCAGTGCAATCACCTCCCAGTCACACACAAACATCTAAACCACAAGTTTACATGTTTAGAATATTAGGCAGTGCTTTTATTCTGTGAGCACAGCACCCACCATCTTGTCTGGAGAGTGCTGTTGGAGAGTGTTCCATGGCACACTGACCAGACAAGGAGGAGATCAACTATTTGCTTAGATTAATACAGGAAAATAATGGTCTAAGAGGATTATAAATGTGATTTAAAATGTGATTTACCAGCAGTGCAATCCCATCCCAGTCACACAAAAACATCTAAACCACAAGTTTACACGTTTAGAATATTAGGCAGTGCTTTTATTCTGTGAGCACAGCACCCACCATCTTGTCTGGAGAGTGTTCCATGGCACACTGACCAGGCAAGGAGGAGATCAACTATTTGCTTAGATTAATACAGGAAAATAATGGTCTAAGAGGATTATGGACACACTTTATCTTGGCAGAACTTCATAACAGGGGCTGGTCTATGCTCCTGTTGTCCTCTGGAAGCAAAATAGATAACTTAGATATAAAGAAGTTGTTATTTTAAGAGTCTGTCATTAAAACAAGATAAAAAACATGTTAGTGTAGAAGCTGAGCCTGACAACAGAAGTTAAACCAGATGGTCTTAACTAAATTTATTGAAGTATCATGAGGTATGTGATCACTTTTAATTACACTTCTACCTGTAGTATTTCTGTTGAAAGTCACTCCTCCTCCACTCTGAGCTAGGGGTTTAGAGAACAACTGGTTGTTCCAGGTTCCATGTGATCCTTCTTTATTGACTGCTGCTAGAGAGACACTCTTGGGGTTTACACCTTAGAAAAACAAACCATGAGAAATGTTATAAATATCAATTTTCATATGTAACTCAACCAATGAAAACCAAACACTTCTAGAACAAGTAAAACAACTGGAATATTTACTGCATTTTTTGTAATTTAATATAAGCACCATTAAAAGAATGTCCATTGATTAGATTTTTCAGCCAAACCATGAAAACTAGAGACACTGATTTAAGAACAATTCTCTTAATCATCTCCAGAGAACTAAAAACCTTTTCAGTACAGTTACTTGGTTTCTTATAATCTCATTATTGATATTTTTGACTCTCTAACACAAATTAAATACACCTATAAAAAAACCAGGGTTCTCAAGGCTGAAATTAAATCAGTTATTCAAGGGATAAGTTAAAAAACTTCTTTTTACCAAAAAGGTTCTTGTTATTTCAGCATGTTACAAGCATTTCAAGAGTTAATGTCATTGCACAGCAAGAAAGCAGCTCCCAGATCTCCTGGTTTGTGTTACCAGTAAGTAATTTCTAAAGTAATATGGATAAATAAGAAACATGCTCCTTGGAGGGAGTATTGTCTTCAGTGCTGAAATCTTATTTTTCCACCTGTGCCTTTCTAATTGAAAACTCTACTAAAACCAGAAAGACATTAGAAGCATCCTTATAAAAAAAAATAAAGGTTAAGAAATACAGATGAACTTTCCATTTGTGTCACCTTAAAATTTAGCCTGGTTATGAAAAGCAAAATTATCCACTGTGACATCTAAAATTGAAGTGTACTGCACATGGATTGCCCACAGCTTCTCTTTTCCATATGTACTGACTTCCACCCTTACCAGGGAGGTATCTTGACTGTCTCAGATAGTACTGCTTTGCTGATGGATTTGATCTTCCTGAATCATTTCTCATCAGAGCCTTATTTTCCACTCCTGGCTGGATACAGCATGAAGCTTTTGGTTCTGGGAAACTGAAAAAAAAAAAAAATAAGATCAGAATGATCAAACAAGTTGACCAACAACTCCAAAATATGACAAGCTGACCTTAGCCCAAAGAGCACAGTGCTCTTCTCTCATCCTAATTTCATCAGTGGGATTTATTTCCACAAAGGAACAGCTAAATCTCACACCTCCTGAAAATCTGACTTGGGGTTTTGAAGAAACAGTTTCTGCAAACAAATTTGGTTCATTTTGTATATTAGTGCTGCTAAATCAACATTACACCCAAAGCTGATCTGCTCATACAGCTCTTCACATTCTTGCAGAATTTCAGAATTTTGGTGACAAATTTTAGCAGATCTGTCTTAATCTACAAATTTACTGGACACTTTACTAAAGAATAAATAAATTGTGATTTTATAATTATAGGACTTACCTAAAAAGACATTCTTTGGTTTTCTTTTCTTTTAAGTGTGCAATGCTTGGCTTCTTGGAACATGACATCACAAACTCAGTGTCATCCAAATCATCCCAGCTGTCCACAGCCTTTATCAGAGTTTGACCCCATCGTCTCCTGCAGGTTTTAGGACGAGCTGCAGCATTCTGAGGGCCACTAGCTGCATGTTTCTAGTTAAAGAGAAAAAGAAAAAGCTTCAATTTAATTCTAAAAATTAGTCCTTTGTATTTAGTTCACCACCTTAAGAACCTAGAGAGGATTTTTCCCACTGTGCTGTGCCTATTTTGGTCACAGACTCAGAATGTTTTTAATCACAAACCAATATTTTCCATTCTACAATATTTTTTCCACAACCTTTTAATTTTAACATTTATTATTTTTATTTTATTTATATTTTATTATTAACATG